TTACCGCATATCATTGTTTCTAGAATGACCTCAGTATAGTTGTTTACTTTCACTCAGTTTCATTTCTTAGTTTTGGAGGGCAAACAATATATATCAAAATGGATATTTTTCAGTATACAATGTATGAGCAATAGTGATTTTTTTCTCTATAGGTAAACTTTTTTCCAAGCACTTAAAAAAAATCCTTAGCTTTAGAGGTTAAAATTTGAACCTTCTAACTATAAATCCTTTTTATTTTTTCAAGTATATACCAACCAGATGGGTCACCGTGGTGGCACGTGTCTATAATCCCAGCACTCCTAGAAGATCATGAGTTTGAGGCCACCCTGGGTTACATAGTGAGTTCAAGGCCAGAGTGAACTGCATAGCAAAACTTTGCATCAAAAAAACAACAAAACCTCCAACAACAACAAAACACACACACACACACACACACACACACACACACACACACACACACTCTATTAAAAAAATAAGGAAAATATAAAAATGGATTTTAAAAAACTAAAAATCTAGCCAGGTACAATGGCACATACCTATAATCCCAGGTATTTATCAGGCTGAGACTGGAGGCCAAACTGAGCAGTTCAAGGAGACTGTCTCAAAATAAAAGTTAAAAACAAAGTAAGGTGTGCGAGCTGGGGTTGGTGGAACTCACATCCCAGCACTCAGGGAGGCTGAGGCAGGAAGATTCCTAATTCAAGTCCAGCCTGGGCAACTTACTGATTAGCCAAACCCTGTCTCAAACTAAAAAATAAAAAATGTTGGAGTCCAGGTGTGGTGGCACATGCCTTTGATCCCAGTGCTCAGCAGGTTGAGGCAGGAGGATCCCTTGATTTGGAGGCCAGCCTGGACTACATAGTGAGTTCAAAGCCAGCCTGCACTACAAAGTGAGACCCTATCTCAAAACAAAACAAAACACTGCTAGGGATGTAGCTCAGTGCAAAGGCCCTGGATTCAATCCCCAATACCTAAAAAATTTTTTCCTAATTTTTTAAAGGGGACTTGGTGCTTAAGTACTTGCCTAGCTTGCTTGAACTCCTAGGTTTAATCCCCAGGACCCCTGAATAAAAATCCTAAAACTCTTTGTGTATACTTTTGTCCAAAATATTTTGCATTAAAAATATAAGACATTGCTAACATAAGTGCAAAAGTATCTTTTTTTTATATTTAAGAGTGTTACATATGGGATTATTAGAAACAATATTTAATGATTATGTATTACTTGCATTAATTAGCTAAAGTTAGACTTCTTTTTCCCATTGTCACGCAATCACATTGAATTAAAAGGTAGCAGATCAAAGGACCAGCTTTGTTTAGTAGATAAGTTAAATTCAAACTCAGCTGAACAGTAAACAAAGTCTATTTCTAAAGCTTAATATAACCAATCACAGACTTTCTAACTTGTTTTCCTAAAAGAACTTAAATTTGGAAAATGTATGTTCTATTAACAAAGTTTATCATACTAGTATTAATATTTAAATCCCCCTCACTCTGGGTTGTTTTTATTATATATCTAGAGGACTGATGTAAAACATGCATGCATGCATAAACACATATTACCAGAAAATACTTTTTTTTTTTTTTTTTTTTACATAACACTGAGACATAGACTCTCAAGTGAGACTACCCAATTTACAAACACAGCTTACTAGCTATGTGATTCTAGGTAACCTATTGAACTTCCCTATGCCCTCATTTCCTCATCTCTAAAATAGAATAATTGCTCATAACCATCTCAAAGAGAGTAGTTATGAAAATTCAGAGTATTTGAGTGTATTTGTAAGTTCTGGGACAATAGTAAACATGCTGTAGTTATCTGCTGTTTAAAAGTTTTAAATTATGTGCTAAATTAAATACTTTATATTTCTTAGGATGAAGATATTATTCTCTCCATTTAAAGATGAGAAAATTCACCAGGTATGCCTACAATTGATCCCAGTACTCAGGAAGCTGAGGCAGGAGAATCGCTCTATAATGAGTTCAAGGCCAGCGTGAACTGCATAGCAAGACTCTGTCTCAAAAACCAAAATATTAAATAAATTTTTTAAAAAGATGAGAAAATTAAAACACAAAAAGATTAAATGATTAGGCCAAAGCTACACAAAAGTAAATATCAGAATAAGGATGCAACACAAATCCTTTATCACAGATTCTAAAATACATGTACACTAGGCAAAAGCAGCCGACTATAGAGGGCAGCGGAGCCACAGACTTTGCTGAAATAAACAAGAAAATGTAACTCCTGGAATAAAATTAGTTTTTAAAAATGTAATATAAGAGCAAGGTGTGTTGGCGAACGGCCTGTAATCCCAGCACTTGGGAGACAGAGGCAGGAGGATCACAAAAAGTTCAAGGCTAGCCTGGGCTACATAATGATTTCAGGCCGGCCTGAACTACAAAGTGAGAATTTGTCTCAGAAAACCAAAAAACAAAAGTCAGGTTGGGGATATATCTCAGTAATGGTGCTCTTGCCTATCATAAGCACAAGACCCTAAATTCAAGCCGCAGTATGCAGAGACCAAAAAAAAAAAAAAAAAAGTGACTAAAACAAAAAAGTTTACATGTG